AATTCGTTCCTCGTAACTACTCTAAGCCTCACTTGAGATAATCCTTTGTCCCCCGTGGGTTTGTACTATCAACTTCTTCTTTGCTTCTTTTACCTTTCTCCTCTGATACTCCACCTTTGCCCCTACTCATCAACCTAATGGTAACCGCCTCGTTACTGAGGGCTTAGCTTCGTAACCTCCGCCTACTACTTGTACTTCCCGTATGTATTACCTGCATCACTCGCATAGTAGCGATGAAATTTATGATCCTACCAATCGTTACATCCCTTTTGGATTCACTTGTTCACTCCTAGGTTCCCAACTTAGCACTTCCTAATAGCCGCTCGAACCAAGAGTTCACGCACTAACGATCCTGTCACTCCGAGACCTCAACGACAATTTCCCGTATGATCACGACGGACTGGCGGTCGCCATCTATCATAATCAATAGTTGATCTATTAAGACTTGTGAATTCATCACGATATCCACTCCAACCACCTCTTTGGTCATCTACGCGATCTACCGCTTCCTCCCTGATGTCATCAAATAATAAAGACGCTTTTATCCTCTCGATGGTTATACATCTCTCCACTCTAAATCTTGTCAATTTCCCACAATGCTTGCCAGGAACAGCTCCAAAAATCCTTACGAGTTCATCCTCCCTAGATACGTGCTTATCCTCCAGACTGGGTTTGTTTTTTTTTTTCTTAAGGTAAAGTCCAAGCTTCCTCGAAACGTCCTAGTCATAGTGACCTAGGTATGACACATGGGTAAACTTACTATCCCTCATGTAAGAAATTCCAACCCAGGGGTGGTCACCCTTCACCGTTTTAGGCAATTTCGACCCCACCTCATACCATCTTTGTATGATCTCCAAATCCATATCACCCTTACTCCCTTACTCACATCCATTGTACTTGGTGTTCCTTGTTTACGATGAAGTCCCTTAGGTTCATATGTGTTCTCTTTTTCGTGAGGAACTTTGACCTCGAATTTTGGAGACTACTATCGCTCCGTGTGTTTAATTGAAATTATACTGTCCATTGCTACCTCATTGTCTCTTATAAGATCGATCACATTTTCCTTTATGACTTCGCAAGTTCAACTTGCTTCCAACTTAACCGTCACCACAAAAGCTCGCTAAATAAGCCTAGTCTTTTTGTCCTTTACCAACGGTTATTTTTATGTCTCCTTTCTACTAAGGAGAGCCAAAATTTTCACACGACAATCATTCCTCACCTCTTTTCTCTACGACTAACGATTCCCCTTAAGCTTGTAGCTCACCTCCTGAGCATCATACCCAGACATATCACATATATTCTCATGTTACTTGCACACTCTTAATCAACATCATGCCTTGCCCTACCTTGATGCCCGACTTGCTTTTGTGAGTTTCTTACCCTCGATACATTCCTACAATTTTTCACGTTGGGCGTCACCACCAAAGAAGATTATGAAGTTCCACCAAATTTTCATGGCATAATCGTCCTCTCATGATGCTTAACATAGTGCCTCCTTATTACTACTTTAGGGTCGAGCTCTCGTACTTTTGCATTTCCAAAAAAAATTGGACTAAGCCAACCATCATTCCTTAGACTTGGGTTGTCCTCTACATATCGCTCGCCCCTTTTTGACGAATTTAAATAGAACATTTATTCTCCTCTCATGACGCTCCCACTACTTTGCCATCGTTACAACTTCCTATAGCTTATTGGTAACTGCTTGGCCACTAGCTTGCATTTGTTGCTCCGTCAATAACCACCGCCCAGTGTATCATCATTCCACTGTGTTTCCCTTCCTTACGATCACAATCTGTTGTCGAGGCTACCTACTAGCACAAATCATTAGATCCACTTGAGTATCTCCGTATTGATGCTTAGGGTTGAAGCATACCCTATAGGTTTGTTTTGGTAGACTCCAACCTGCGTCTCTACAATCTTTACTCATGTCCGATGCTTGGTCATGACCTTAATCACTTAGTTCAAGTTCACAGTGGTTTATCCCTTGTATCCGATTTATCCTTAACTGGTCATTCCTCAAGACTAGCCTCTCCAAATACCCATGCCAACTGGTTTCGCCCTACCTTGGGCTCATCCTCTTGGTGACTTCCCACCATGTTGTATTCGCTCAGAGTGGAGCACAGTGAGTAAAGTAACTTACTGTGCTCCTATGCTTTGGAATGCTTTCCTCGTCATATTCTTTTGTTCATTTTCTTGAATTCGATTTACTTACCTTCACTCTACTTCTTGTCTAGGGATTTGCATGTCCTTCTGCCCTTCATTAATTTCCCAATATCACTAATGTCTCTTCCCTCGTTATGGCCTTGAAATGGCTTCCTTAGACTTGACCACTAGACTTCCTGGAATCACATCGAACTTTCTCTTACCTTCCCACTCTCTCCCTTGGTATGCTACTTAGGTCCTCATTATTATGTCGATTGAAATTTTTCCTCGAAAATTTTACTTGCATTTATCTGATATTTATTAGAACTTCCCTCGAACTTTCTATTTTCTTGTCTATCCTCGGCTGACTTGATGACTTTTCTTGGGCTAGTCTCGAGATTCTAACTCTTAACTTACCCTGGTCCGACGATGCTCCTTGTGTCCCTTGGATTTTTGTCCTTCCGTGACTATGGTAATTTTTAGGGTTTCTTGAATCCCTCTCGTGCCTCAATTTTGTTGGTGCCACCTCTTGTCTTGCTTACTTAAACCTGGCTACCCCCACCGTGAGTGCCCCTCAAACTTAATTTCTGACTATCACGGAACATATCACCCTCCGATAGGAATCCCTCGTATACCTTATCCTCTAGCTGAAGTTAGAATTACTCGCCGTAGTGCGCAGGCCAATTATCTAGTTTATGTTATTTTCTATTCTTGTGCATTGGTTCTAATTCAATTCTTTCTTTAACTAGGGTCTCTGATGAATTGTATTGCCAGGAGAGCAAGTGGAAATAAGGTAAAATGGTTATTGTGGTTTTGTTGAGTTATGTAGTGGTTATGTTTTATGAATTTTTCAACTAGTGAATTGTTGTGCTATGGTGGGCGAGATGGCCATACTCTAGATAGTGCTTTTGTTCGCTGATGGAGGCAGTGCAACATTAGCTTTGTGGGTTATGCATGTGACTCGTTTTTGGTTTACGTCTATGTGGTAATTCGTCGAGCATTGGAGGCTGATGTGCATCATGACCCATGTGGAGGAGCGACTCTTGAAGTAGTTCGGTTATTAGATTTTCGCTTTGTTTATGCTTCTCGTTTTACTAAAACTAGATAATTGGCCCACGCGTTGCGGCGGGTTGTCAACACATATATCAGTCATGTAACATTTAGATGGATCTTTTCTTAAATTGAGTGAGATGTCTTTAGAGATTGAAACTAACATTTTAGATTGTTTAGCCTTTTGATAGAAAAATGATTTTGGATAATAATTGAGTTTTTACAATTAATCCGCAGTATTGCGTCGGCGGGGATAGTACCTAATTTTGATCCTTCTTTTGATATAGATAAATATATCAAGTAATGAATAATATACTTTAAAATCAATTAACATGTATTCTTATATTTAATTTCTAGGAATGTCAAGATAATTCACATTTGTACCTTAGACCATCGTTTTGTTCCAACTATTACTCATATAATGATAACAAAGTCAAACAATATTGAGCAAGCCTCATTGTGTGACTATTGTATTACGATAGAATGCTCACTCAATAAGTGATTATTGTATTCTATAATTGCTTCATCTAATTAATTTATTTCTTGTCATACAAATCTCCATTGTACGTTGAGTTCCCTTCTTCACTTCCATATGTAATTGCTTCACCCTAAACCCCTGCCATCTCTTTACAAACATGCAACGAAGATCAATAACATGTGTCAATAAATACAAACATAATTCAGCTCCATGACTTCCATCTCCTTCCCTAGCTTGCATCATGTCTCTCTCACCGGGTTCCAACCCCAATCAAAATCGGGGAGAACATTCTTTTATTGGACACCAGACTCTCACACATGACATTAGTGCTTCTCTCTGCGTCCCTCTTTAATTTGGGTTTACTTTCAGCAGCGCCATCTACTGCAACCCACATCCTCCTCGATCGCAAGTAAGTGGTCGGCTGCATGCAATGGATCTCATCAACGAATACAACTTACCCTCATTGTCTGGTTAAGACAATTCCATAGTGATGTACAGAGTGGTTGAATCCATATCCTCAGTTTTAGCGGCGCTCAAACTCAATTAGCCGCCATCCTGCAAAAATGTGGGATCTGGGAGAAGGAGAAGGGGATTCCTTGATATGATTGGCGATAAGTGTTTGGCGGGAAAGGACCATCTCGGAACCCAGCTTTGCCAATCGTCAGGGATCGTCGGAGGGGGTAAGTGGATTAAACGACGTGCAGAGAATTTACTTCGGAATTGCGCCTAATGGCTAATGGTAGACCCGTTGTAGTAAACCCCTAATACCATAAACTCTAGGGTTGCGTCGGCCGAGATAGGGGGAAGCTTGGCGTTGGCTCTTCGATTCTCCGGCTAGCTCCATCTTGGCCAACCTCCAGAGATTTGATGGATCGGAGGGGCAAAAGGAATGGAGACTGAACGACTCATGGGAACCGCACCGCAATTGGAAGGGATGAGCTTGCCCAATCGCCAGGCGAAAAACCAAGGGAAAAGAAAAGGTAATTAGTGGGGACGCACCAAACTTGCGGTAGACCCGTCCACATTTGCCCAGACCCCTTAAAATAAAACTTGCGAATTAATATATCCAATAATCTAATAATGGTTGTCCGTTTCATGGTATAAGCAACCCTATATTGATAGATCGACACTTGGTTGACTATGTTATTTACTTTTGAACAAAAATAGATCCAGCGGAACCCAACTAATAGCCGCAAAAAGCCATAACACTAAAAAGATGCAGGTCGTTTATTTAAGTTGTTCTAGAAAAAAAAAATGCAGAGAGGAGATGAAGTGCAGGTTGTTTATTTAAGAAACTAATAAATATAAATAATAAACAGAAGAAGCAGGGCAACAGAAACAGGACATGAGTCATGAGGTGTGCTGATTGCAAAGAAGAAGATGGGGAGCTGGGGGGCCCATCATACAAATGAAATGAGCAGGAGAAGAAGACACTGCAGGCGGCCAATTAATCCCTAAACACCAAACCATCACACGAATACTCAAAACAATAACATTTTCGCTTCAATCAGGAGGAGGGAGCAATTTACTATTCAAGCGTCAGTCGAGCCAGTAGCGTTTGGCTGATTATGCCCCGCTCGAATCTAAACCCTAAAAACACCACCTGGAAAACGATGGCTTCCTTCTCGTTTAATCTGAACCCCCCTTCAGCCTCATATATCGCCCTCCGCATCTTCCTCGCTCTCCTGCTACAGCTCGCCTCCCCGCTTTCTCAATTCGACAAAATTCCAGCCGGGTTTTGGCTTAATTCTCCTGTGGGTTGCTGGGTCTCAATTGGTCGAATGTAAGTCTGCTGTTCACTGCGGTCTTTCTCATTTCATTTCTCCGTTCCTTTCCCCTTTTCGAGTGGGGGCTAATTTTCTGATTGGTTGTTTGGCTGTAGTCCTAGTCGGGAAAAAGAAAGTTCCAAAATAGTTAAATGATGAAGAGGTACAGGAATGGAGAAATCTGGGACTTCGAGCTCGAAAATCGGTTCGCCAGTAACCCTCCGGTGATCTTAGGATTGGATGGCGGCACTACTTCCACCGTCTGTGTCTGCATCCCCATTCTGCCATTCTCCGCCCCGCTACCGGACCCTCTTCCCTTTCTCGCCCGCGCCGTCGCCGGCTGCTCCAACCACAATAGTGTTGGCGGTCAGTCTCATCTCTGTCTTGCACTTTGTCTCCCTCACTTCCCTCATGGGCAGCTTGCGCCGGCTTCTTAAAATAATAGTATGTGGATTGGAAGGGAAGTGAAGTAAAATAGCTCGAGTTTCTGAAGATCATTAGAAGAATCCCATGAGTCGTTTCTTTTATTGTTATCTTCCATTGACTGCTTATCAAATGAGGGTTTCATAATGCTCTTGCCCATTTTGAGACAGCTGTTGGCACAGAAGGCCAAATGCAGAAAGTTATGTGGCTTATAATGCAAAAGAAAAGTGAATTTGCATTTATATAGAAATAGGAAAAATCAAATAAATTTTCTATCTTTCTAGTTTCTATAGTTGATGTCCTCCTCTTTTGCTTGACATTTTGGATCCTACAGAACTTGCTGCAAGAGAGACCTTGGAGCAGGTTATGGCAGACGCACTCTTGAAGTCCGGTTCCACTAGATCTGCAGTTCGAGCAGTTTGTCTAGCTGTTTCAGGTGTTAACCATCAAACGGATGAGCGAAGAATTTTGAAGTGGCTTAGGTTGGTTTTCGAATGATTGCGAATCTCTGACAAATTTGTACACTCGCAAATGTGTGCTGATTTTAGATTCTGCCCCTGCATTCTACTTCTTATTCTTTTTTTTTACAAAAATGTTTCTGAAATCTGTTTCACGGTCTTCATTCGTATATACAGGGACATCTTCCCTCGTCGTGTTGAGCTATTTGTTCAGAATGATGCTGTGGCAGCATTAGCTAGTGGAACAATGGGAAAGCTTCATGGTTGTGTTTTAATTGCCGGTACAGGGACGATAGCATATGGGTTCACAGAAGATGGAAGAGAAGCTCGGGCTGCAGGAGCTGGTCCTGTCTTGGGCGATTGGGGAAGGTATGTCCTTGTGTAAGTTTTCATTTGATTATTGTTGCTTAGGAAGTTTGTATCAGTGGTAATGGTTCCGTACCTTCATGGTATTCACTTTTGATCGCATTAATGGAGAAGCCTACTGCTCAAAAGTTGTAAGACTTGTTTTTGTCTATCTATGCGTAAATGATTTACTTGACAGATTGTGTGCTACTTGCAGTGGATACGGAATTGCTGCACAGGCATTAACAGCAGTAATAAGGGCCTATGATGGTCGGGGTGGTCAAACAATCCTCACATCAAGTATATTACAGTTTCTAGGGCTTTCTTCTCCAGATGAACTTATTGGGTAGGTACTTAAAACAATCATTGTTACCACTGCTCTTGGTTTCTTTGTGTTAATTACTAGAGTTTGTTTCTGGAATTTGTAGGTGGACATATTCAGATTCATCTTGGGCTCGCATTGCAAATCTTGTCCCAGTAGTCGTGTCTTGTGCCGAGTCAGGTGATGAAGTTGCAAATCAAATACTGCAAGATTCAGTTGAAGAATTAGCTTTAAGTGTGAAAGCTGTTGTCCATAAACTTGGGTTGTGTGGCGAAGGTATGATTCCTGTTTGTGTTTGATTTTTCATAGCTTGCCAATACTGTCATATGATATAGTTTCACTGGTTTTGTTACTTCATAGCTTGTCAATACTGTCATATGATTCCTGTATGTGCGCTGTACTATATTATCAATGCTCAGTTGCTGCAGTAAGAGAAGAAATTTGCAGATTTTCCAATTTAGGTTATACCATAAAATGGCTGCAGTCTTTAGAGCTTGAGGCCTGCTATTAATGATTCAGTGGTAATCTAAACTTTGAGTAATCCATCACTATGCTTATATTTATACTGCTTATAAATTAATGCTGCTGCAGATGGAAATGCTCCTTTTCCCCTTGTCATGGTCGGTGGTGTTCTCGAAGCAAACAAGAGTTGGGATATAGGGAAAGAGGTTGTGAACTGCATCTCTCGAGACTACCCGGGGGCTCTTCCAATTGTACCGAAGGTACTACTTAACTTTTGAACAACAAGTAATAGTATTACTAAGGAACAGCTAGATCTCAGATGCTAGACAGAAATGCCTATTCTATGCATTACTGGAAGTAGCGAAAAGCAGGTTCTGGTTACAGGCAGAGGATAGGGTTTCTTTCTATCTTGAGTTATTAGAATGATACATGAACTATTGAGGATGATACCAAAAAAAAGTGCACGGTATGGATAGACTCTGATATGCAATGGACATTGGACCCATATGGCAAAATAGTAAGCTAAGACAGTTCCAGCTTCAGCAGCTGATTAATATTTGCTAGAGAAAAGTTGGGTAACATGAAAGCGCAATGTAGCATGCCGCCTAACATGTAGTGCTTGTTCATCGTTCCATCTAATGCTTTTTTAGATATCTCCAAGATGATCCTTTAATATCTTATCACCAACTTGGGTTTGAAAAACCGTTTGTCTTGTTGCTGCTGTCTGAAGGTACTAGAGAACATATATAATAATAATGTTGCGTTTTGGTGCTTTGTTTTGTTTGGTTATGAAAAATCCAGGTAGAGCCGGCCGTGGGTGCAGCACTATTAGCTTGGAATTTCTTGATGAAAGAGTCGCAATGAAATGGTGGCAACAAATCCGCCATTGCCAAAATAGTGACCATCGGTGCGAAGCTTATATAAAATAATGGCATGCCTGTTGTATATTTGGGAGAAGAAAAGTGTATGTGAAGTGAATGGGGGAAGAGTATGATTCTGTATTGCGGGTGGGGGGTAATCGAGTTGCGATGTTGAGCTCAGAAAATTTGCAGCGAATTTTTTACTGGTACTTTTGGTATTGGTTGACAAGTGGAACTGTCTATGATTAGGATGTGACAAAAAAAAAAAAAAAATGCATTACCATTTCTTGTCGTCCTCTTTGTCGTATTATGTTTTGCTTTCTGGTTGTCCTCTTTCTTTTTCCTTTTAAGAAATGTATCTTGTTTTTCCTTTTAAAAAAGTTCTATATATGTATCTTCTTACCAGCCATTTGTATGGGAAGCGATTAGAAACAAAAACGAAAAAGGCCAATTCGGATTGGACAAGAGTTCATGTTTGTTCCATGCCACGAATGAGAAATTTTACAATGCTATATAGTATTGGTGCTATAGGGTTTTGCCTTTATGGTACAACTTAAAATTGTACATTTACGTTATGGTACAATTTCAGATTGTACATATACTTTTTGTACAAATTCTTTTATGGTACAACTTGAACTTGTACTTTTATGTGATGGTACAACTTCAAGTTGTAAAGCTGTACCATAACATAATGATACAAATTGCTTTATCGTACAACCTAAACTTATACATTTAATGTTATGGTACAACTTTAAATTGTACATTAAATCACCAATACTATATAGCATAGTAGAAGTTCTCTGCCACGAATAGGGGTGTGCAACTACGATAACATATTTTACATATTGGGATGAAGAATCAAATTTGTCCATACTATATTGGTATAGTTTGTAAGAACGCGAGTGATCCCCATAGGAATTACTGGAAAAAGATCTTTTAGATCTCTTTCCTTTTTTCGATAAAAAAAATCATTTTGTTTCTTTAAAAAAAATTTGTATCACAAGAAATACATCATTTGATTGAAGAAAACCCCAAACCTATCAAAGAAAGATTTATCAACGCCCGCTCGACTATGAGTTCCAACGTAAAAGGAACGAAATCACTAGACGAACCTGACCAAACTTATGACCCGACCATCATTGCATCCGATCCATTTGGTCCAAGTTGGTCCGATCCAAATGTTAGCTCGGTCCATCATTTTTTCAATAATTATAAAATTCATGGGGACCAAAGAACGTACCGCATTATTTGGAATATTACTCCTAGTTCTGCAGGAATGTGGATATGGAAAAGGATTTTGAAGTGCAGAAGTCTGGTTGCACAATATATTAAAGGTGTGATGTCGTCGAATGTTCTGTGGCAAGGTGAACGGATGGATAGGTATTCAGTTACTAAAGTGTGGCAATCTATTAGGCAGCTTAGTCCAAAGGTGCCTTGGACAACAAAACTAACATGGGGAAAGGAAGTTATACCTCATCATGGATTCATTGTTTGGTTAGCTATGCATGATCGTTTGACAACTCAGGACAAGCTGATACGTTGGGGAAGCCTGTTACAGGTTTATGTTTGTTGTGCCAGGGTGGTGTGGAATGTAAAGCTCACATGCTGATGCATTGTTCATATATAGGTTGTGTGTTGCAGAAGTGTTTGAAGGTGAATGCTCCTCCTTATTTTCATACCTGGGAGGTGACTCACCACGAATACATGAGTCACTCCGAATATCACAATTAATTCCCGCATAATGTCCAAGCATAAACCTTAGTCGGGTGGCAATACAGGGGAAGTATGTTTAAATATCGACTCGAGCCAGTCCGTGTACCCCTACTATAGTCATTTGAATCATTATCTAACGAATCGGTTTTGGTTGGAAAGTTTGCTAATTAAAGTAAAGCAAGACAAAAGCAAATGGTTTTGAAAGCTCTTTGTGAGAAGGATCACTCGGGTGTCGCTTCCCCCTAACTACTACCATGGTATGTGAATCGAAGTGATTGCTATGGGCAAGGTGACCGCGAACCGCTAGGGGACGCAAATATGATCATAGACCACACTCTCGATTGCCAAACCGAGGGATACATTATAGGCTATTCAAGTGGCCCTCTCGGTTAAGGCAATCAATGGTTGACTTACTCCCTCTATCAACCCAAGGGTTGGTTGACTGAATCGTGCTTAACCAAATTGCTTAATTCAACATAGTTAGGGTTTCACAACACCCAAGTGAAAAAGGAAACTACTCCATTCTAGAAAGGGGAGAAATATAAGAGGAAGAGGTAGAAACCATCATGGTAAGGCTTCCAATCTCCTTTGAGCTTGTGTTGAACTTCTCTTGGGGAGAATCTTCCCAATTCACCACTGGGAGCAATCCCTAGCCTTCCATCTTCTTTGGTTCGTTCTTTCTCTAAAATCTGAAGAAGAAGACACTTTCTCACTCTTGGGCTCTCCTTTTCTCTTCCTTTCAGCTCTCCTTATAAACATGGATCGGACTCAGTTCATGGCCGTGAACTCTTGAACGCGTTCGTGAACTCAAGGTTAGCGTCGAAATGCACTGTTTGCTTGCACAGGTTCACGGGCAACAGCTCTAGTTCATGGTCTTAGTGACCGTGAACTCGCATAGCGTCAGTAACTTCAGATTTGGCCCTGGACGCCTTGATGTTCACGGGAAACAGCTCCTCTTCACGGTCTTTGCAGACCGTGAACTTGCAAGAGAAACTGTGAACTGCCGGTTTTCACCTCTTATCCCAGTTTCGCTCCTTTTCGTCCAACTTTCGACTTCGGGGCTGGTTTCACCTATTAAATCCCGAAACATGCTAAAACACAAGAAACCTCACGTAAAACCGCCCTTTTAAGAGCACAATTTTCACAAACGCCTAAGGAAAACGGGGGTAAAATATGTACAATTAGGCCCGAATCACTCCCCCATACTTAGATTTTTGCTTGTCCCCAAGCAAACAATTTCCCTCAAGATAATATTTCAACCTACACAAATACTTTGGGGACAACTTAAAGGGCACAAAGTGGGAATTCTCACTGGCTATTGGCAATTAATACATGGACCGTTGCAAGCAATACCGACATCCATCACAAATGACATTTGAGGCCACTAAAAGTGGGCAAACGAAAAGTTCTCAGCTTGTTCATGGATCAATGCAAGTCGCAACAAGACCACTTATCAACCACAACTAACCATGCATAGAATTCAAGTCTGAGGAACAAATGGAAAGGCAACAAAGGTCCTCACCGGGGTATGATATGGCATGAAAAGCAAGAATGAATCACTCACTCTCAAGACCAGTGGGGTCGGGACCTTTTTGGTGCAAAAGATGTGCACAATCATCAACACTCGGCCCAATCGTCTCAATGCCACGGTGGTAACCTCTAAATGCTAGATTTCACGAGATGGTTGTCACCACTAGCTGGTCCGGAGGTCTAAGACACGGGTTCAAATGCCTAGCAATTGTCTTGGACATGGGGAAAAGGCTTTTTGGGTGATGGCAAACACGACATGAGGTTCTACATCTTCAACCTAAACCCAAAGGTTCTATGGTTTCGACTAAGACCCTTCTCTTCAACCAAAGGCCACTAGCATCGACCAAAAACCTTATCTCTCCATTCCAAACTATCACCCATCGTGAACTACATTAAAGCATTCTTCCTCGGTCTTCTCTTGCTATCACCTTTTGATTTGGTAGTGAAGGAGTTCTAAAAAATGTGGGGGGTTTCAATGGCTTGAGTGCCAAGAAACCCCTCCTAGAGCATACACTTTGGTTTTTCGTGGCACTCTCTACTTAATTTACCCTATTTTATTACCTCTTTTTCTTTTATTTTCTTTTATTTTCTTTTTGAGGGGTGTACTAGAGAGTAAAACCTTTGCCACCTATGCATTTAACAACCAATGCTCTCTTTTCAAGAACTCACTCCAATACTACACTTCATTTTTCATTCCTAGCAAGAACCGCACACAATCCTCCTATGTAGAACCTCTATGGAAACTCAATAGTGAGAGTTCCGGGACACAAGGACGACTCATTTTTAGACACGAAGAAAGGATTGGGGGTCGTTCTGTCAACACCATTAAGCTCACAAGCACGAAGCTCCTAACTTAAGAACGACCCTCGAAGTCACAAGGCTCAAAAGGGTTAAGTAGTGGATAACACATTTTGGGACAATCAACATTTGGGCATGGACTAAACCTATGCCTCCATCATACTCACTAGTGACAACTGTGATGTTACTCGCCGTGGTAAGAGGGATCTAAGTACACAAGAAGAAAACAATCGGCTCAAAGCTCACATGGCTACCTAGTCACCCAACCATCTATTCCAACTCACAAAACACAATGCATGGCAAATTGTAGTCAACAAGTAATCGAGTCAAGACATCCATTCATTTATGCACACACGAGAACTAAACTATTACACTATCCTAATGGACCTCTCAGTCATTATCATAGGATATACTCGACCACATGCAACAAATCAAGATCAATGCCAATAAACACGAGATTTCCCCACACACCGACCACTTTGATCATGCAAACATTACTTGGAGCCCTAAAATTTTTCAAATTTGGGCATACATCAAGGCTCCAAGCATGAATCACACTCACATAAGCATAATAGTAAACTACCCCCCCCCCCCACTACCACCACCCACACTTAAGCTCGAGATTGCCCTCAATGGCATGAGATAGGGGTAGAATGATGTTACCGCTTGGGCTTGGTGAGTGAAAGTTGGAATCGATTCCAGGGTAGGATATTTGGAGCTTAAAGGAGAGACAAAAAACAAACACAAACACAATACGACTCGCTCGAGGCGAGGTTATTACAAACACAACACGATAGTAGTAGTAGCATGACAAACTTGCTAACCTCCATTTGGTTGCCTCCCAACAAGTGCTTCTTTAACTTCTTAAGCTAGACGGAGACTCCGAGTCATGCATCTTGCAGGAACACCACCTCCTTGTGTGTCATTACCTCTCCTCCAAGGTAACGTTTCAAGCGGTGTCCATTCATTTGAAAGTTCCTTCCTCAGGGTGGGAGATCTCAACAACCCCGTATGTGACACTTGCGTTACCACATATGAGCCCAACCATTTCGACCTTAGCTTTCCTGGGAATAATTTCAACCGGGAGTTGTACAAGAGAACCTGGTCTCTCGGTTTGAAATCCTTCCCTCCTTTGAGACGAGCATCGTGCAAGCGCTTTTTCTTTTCCTTGCAAATCTTAGTGTTCTCATAGGCTTGGAGACGCCATTCCTCGAGTTCGAGCACCTGCAACTTTCATTCATTGCCACACAAACTAGGGTCCATATTCAAAAGCTTTATGGCCCAGAAAGCCTTATGCTCTAACTCTACGGTCAAGTGGCACACTCTCCCATACACCAAATGGTAAGGCAAAACGCCTATTGGGGTTTTGTAGGCCGTGCGGTACGCCCATAGAGCATCATCGAGCTTTGCGAACCAATCCTTGCGGGATTGATCCACGATCTTTTCTAATATTTGTTTCAGCTCCCTATTTGATAACTCGACTTGTCCACTAGTTTGAGGATGATAGGCCATGGACACCCGGTGGGTGACGCAGTAGCGATCGAAGAGCTTTTCGAATTTCCCTTGAAAATGGGTTCCTCGATCGCTAACGATGACCCTCGGGGTCCCGAATCGTGAAAATAGCTTTTTCAGGAATCCACAGACTTGTCTTGCATCATTGCTGGGGGAGAGCCTGAACCTCAATCCACCTCGAGACGTAGTCTACAACCAAAAGGATATATTTGTTACCAAAAGACAAGGGGAAAGGACCCATAAAATCGATGCCCCAAACATCAAAGATCTCACAAGTGATAGAAATTTTTTGGGGCATCTCATTTCGGTTTGAAGCATTACTTGTCCTTTGGCATTTGTCACAATGACTCACAAATTTGTTGGCATCCCGGAAAAGGCTAGGCAGTAGAATCCCGACTGGAACACCTTTCTTGCCGTTCGGTTGCCTCCATGATGGCCTCCAGTCGGTCTTGTATGACAGTGGTTCAGAATATCCGCCATTTCCTCCTACGGTACACACCTTCGAATGACTCTGTCGGCCCCAATTCGAAAAAGGTGAGGATCGTCCCAAAAGTAGCAACGGAGGTCGGAGAAAAACTTGTTTCTCTCATGTGTATTCATCCCCTTGCGTAGCTGCCCTCCAACCAGATAATTGGCAAAGTCGGGGAACCACGGGGCGACACTCTTTGCAGCGGCGAGGGCGAATAACCATTCATCGGGGAAAGTGTCACTTATATCTCTTGGGGAGGTGCTACCTCCCGGTCCTTCAAGCCGCGAGAGATGGTCAGCTGCAAGGTTGGCATCCGCCTTGCTCATCAAGAAGCGGATGGCGGAGTGGTCGGTGTAGACAAAAACCGTGGAGAGCACCACGGTTTTGACTTGGGAGAAGTCACATTTTATGGTCCGGGAGGGCATTGTGTTGGATCACAAAATCTCCAAGAGAGGGATTGAGGTGGATCGAGCCAAAGTTGAGACAATAAGCAAGCTCTCTCCACCAACCATGGTCAAGTGCATCAGGAGTTTCCTTGGGCATGATGGGTATTACCGACGTTTCATTGAGAACTTCTCGAAGATTGCATTGCCCTTGACCAAGTTTTTGGAGAACGATGTCTCATTCTTTTTCACAAAGGAATCAACTGAAGCTTTCAACATCCTTAAGGAGAAGCTTACAAATTCCCCCATAACGGTCTCACCATATTGGAACCTTCCTTTAGAGCTTATGTGTGATGCTAGTGACTATGCAGTGGGAGCGGTGATAG